AATTAACTGCCTCTGAAAACCCGCTGGAGCGTCAGCTATAGGGCGGTTTGACTTGATGATACATAACAACAATATAAATCAGGCAAGGATTCCCTGGTGGCTCGATGGCTAAGCACTCCACTGATAGCTCAAAGGCCAGGGGTTCAAAGCCGCCAGCTGCTCTGTGGGGAGAAGATGAGGCAATCTGGCTTCTGTAATGACTTCAGCCTGAGAAGCTAACGAAGTTGTACTCAGGACCACGATTCATTGGCATTAACTCGGTGGCAGTGGGATCAGTGTAGGTTATAAATCAGCTTGCAGAGCAAGTGCGGGAGAAGGGAACAGGGCAGTCAAACGACATTTTCCTCTATCCACACAGAATACCAGTTCTGTCATTCCGACCCAAGCAAGCATACAATCTTTCCATACGTGTGTTTCTTCTTTTATAAAAGAAAGCTCTTCAACTAGGCAGATAATCGAGTGTTTTCTCCAGTTCTAGATGTTTCTGAGTCTATGAGGAAGCACATCCAAGTTCTGGAAGAATTCCTATAGCTGTGACTCTCTGACACCCCAGGACCTAGTAGGCACAAGGAAAGTGTTTGGTAACAGCAGTGGACTGTGTAGTGGCAGAGAAGAGAAATCAGGGACAGAATCCACGAGTGGCCCCAACTTCCAGTGACCCTGCAGGGAGAGCAGAACCGGTCCACTGGGTTTCTAAGAAGGTAACCTTTACAGAAGCTCACAGCCTCAACTTTTTCCCACAGAACAGCTGATAGGTTCAAACTTCTGACCTTTCGGTTAGCCATAAATGCTTCCACCATGGCACTACCAGGGCTCCCGGGAGGAACATCTGTGATGGCTGATGGCATTCAGCAAGGAAATAAACCATCTATAAATAGGATCCGACAGGAAAGAGCTGCCAACACGGATTCCAAGCAAGGGTAGGAGTCAAGTCTTGGCACCCACGTGGATGGCTAGGGGAAACATGCCCCAAAAGATAAAACAGGGCAAAAATAAACATATGCTCACAGATGCCCTTGGTTCCCTGAAATCCACACTCAAGTCCTGAACATGCTTCAGCCAAAGGAATTTGTCAAGAACCAGCATTTTGACTCCTTTCAGAAAGCCTTTGATTTGATGCCTTGTTCTGCACTAGGATAGTAAGTACCCACCCACCTCACGAGCACCCCACCCCCAGAAAACAAAGACTAAAGACCCAAAAAGTCGAGGCCACCATCTGAGAAGTAATAGCTACAGCTGCAAATTATTAACTCAAGGATTTATTACCAATTAGGACTATAAATCTCTGCTTACTTTGGCTCCTGGAAAGTTGATTTCACCAAGCAGGAGGTGGGGAGTGTCACTTGAGACAGCAGGGGAGAAACCCAAGCTTAAAAAGACACACTTCAAATTTAAAAGCAAGCAGGGGCTTCTCAAGCACCAGGGCAGGCTGGATCTGGGCTTCTAAATCAACTGTCCGGCAGATGCCTGCAGGTTTAACAAAGTCAGAGGCTAACAGTCCTCTAAAGTGTCAGGAGCCTGGAAGCTGGTTGCACAATTGCCTCCCGGGCTCATCCTAGGTGATGCTGGAACTCAAGAATCAGGGACTTGATTATGTTCCTTCTCTGAGGGATTTTCAGCCTTGGCTGACCATCAGAACCTCCTGCTAAGCTTCAACAATATACCGATGCTTAGATCTCACCACAAGTCAATTAAAACTGAATTTCTAGGGATGAGACCAGGATATCAAAGTTGTGCCAGAAAAACCCCAGTGAGCTAAAATTGAGAACCACAACTTACCTAATTTTGTTTTTATGATAACTTCATTAAAGATTCTTTAACTCTTCGGACTTTACTAATGATAAAACTGAAGTCCAAAGAGGCTGCGTAATTGGTCCAGGGATACAGAAACTAGTGACGGAGGCAAGATTTGAACCCGGAACTCACATGCTTGTCCCCTTTAAAAGCCCTGCGTCTCAGCTTTCCAGACTGAGAATTTATGGGCCCTACAAGGTAGAAAATGAACCTCCAAAGTTATCTTTCAATGTTACTTTTAAAAATTAATAGAAATAAAACTTCATCTCATAAAGCAACATATTAGCTAGAGTGTCTAAAGTCTTTGCTTGGAATATCAGCTCTTAAAAGTCAGATTGTTATTTTCTTCCTCATCAGCAGTTCACATGTATTCAACCAATATTAATTACCAGTTTTCTGTAGAGGTCTTCAGTGAGCTGCAGAGAGAGACAGGTAAACAGGTCAGCACAGGACAGGTGTGCTAAGAAAGGCAAAAAAAGCCAGACAGCTCTGAGCAGCAGTAATACATTGTGTCTTTGGTAGACTGACTGACACAGGCATGTTACTAAGTGAAGATTTACAAACAGGGGTCCCTGATGGAGGGAGGGAATATAACATTTTGTGGGACTGTTGGGATACACTGTATTAATCAAGAAACATTTAACCCAGGGTGCAAAATGCTAGGAATCTCTGGGTGGTGCAAACCATGAGTGTTCTTAGCTGCTAGCCAAAAGGTTAGTGGTTCAAGCCCACCCACAAGTGCCTTGAAAGAAAAGCCTGGAGTGATCACTTCTGAAAGCTCAACCATTGAAAGTGCTCTGGACAGTTCTGTTCTTGACACACGTCGGGTTGCCATGAGTTGAAGTCAAGTCTACGATAACTGATTCAAAAGGGCAAATGTCAGGCTGTGAATGTCAAACCCAAGCTAAACGCCATCGAGTCTGTTCTGACTCCGAGGGACCCTCCAGTTTGGGCCCCTGTGGACTCTAACCGTCAAAGACACCCAGCCTTTGGGTGAAGACCACTACCTGAAGCAGACACTCCGCTAGAGTGTTGTTGTGTGCTGTCAGGTTAGAGCTGACTCTGAGCTGACCCTCCAGTGCGTTTTCAGAGGCTGTAAATCGCTCGAGAGGCGGTTGCCCATCCGTCTCCCTCGGAGCAGTAGCCAGATCCTAACGCCCTGCCTTGGGCTTCGCAGTGCGACTCCTTTTCCACTCGGCACACAGAGTTATCTCTACCAGAATTAGAAAACTGAGTATCAGCTGGGGAGTCAGGGATTGAGGTGACCTAGAGAGTGAACATTCTGTCATCAGGGGCGATTTCTCTCACCTCCACCCAAAAACTGAAATGTAGAAAAGTGGGTGCTATGGGGCTGCAGCCGTGGGCTCAAGTGTATCAGAGATGAAGAGGGTGACACAGAACAGGGCAGGACCCAGATCGGTTCATAGGATCATTATGAGTTGTACCCAACTTGATGGCAGGGAGTGACAACATGCTGTCAACACTTCTTCTAACTTTTAAAAACAATAGGTATTAGTTAATCATTAACTAATTATAACCGCCTCTGAAAACCCAGCAGAGGATGGGCTATGGGTCAATTCTAACTCCATGGTACACAACAGCAATACTTTATAAAAGGTCTCCTCACTTTATTTGTATTCGTTTTCATGAACGTTTACAGAGACTTTGGATTTCCATTCATTCATCGTTGCACTTTTCTCCCAGCCCACCCCTCCCCACCAGTTCATTCCTCTCTTTGAAAAGTAAAAGAAAAATTCCTTCATTGGTATACAATCGCCCCCACCCCCACCCCCGAGTACACTCCACTATGCAACCATCATTCTGGACCCATGTCATAACCATAATACCCAATCATATATGGCTTTTAAACTGTTCTCTCCCTCATCTGTTTCAGTGCAGTAAACATAATTTATCCAGTTTTTCTCAGTCTCACCCCAACCCCGATATCAGTCCCGTTTTACAACAGTGGCACTATGCAGTATTTGTCCTTTTGTGACTGAGATATTTCACTCAGCATAATGTTCTCCAGGGTCACCCATTTTGCATAATATTGAATGAGTTCCTTGTTTTTCAATGCAGGGTAGTATTCCATTGTGTGAATATACCATGGCTTCTCTATCCGTTCATTTGTTGATGGGCACTTAGGGTGTCTTAAATGCCGTCTAATAAGAATCTTTACCAAACACTGTGAGAGCTAAAGAAAGCCCGTGAAGCGAACCCTAACTTCACCTCTCCAGGTGATCTCCCCACCTGCCCCACGGGTCCTAGCTCACCTGCTGACTGCCCTGTGCCCTTCCTCCCATGCAGGCATGCTCATTTACTTTGGGTACGGCATCTGGAACAGCACCCTGGAAATCAGCGCCCGCGAGGAGGCCCTGCACCAGAGCACGTATCAGCGCTACGACGTGGATGACCCCTTCTCGGTGGAGGAGGGCTTCTCCTACGCCCCAGAGGGAGACGGCCAGGAGGACTGGGCCCAGCCGGCCGAGGACAAAAGCTACTCCTACCAACAGATGGCAGATGCTAAGGCCAACAGCCGGACAAGTAGCAAAGCAAAGAGCAAAAGCAAACACAAACAGAACTCAGAGGCCCTGATTGCAAACGATGAGTTAGATTACTCCCCAGAATAAGAGCAAACACGCGCGAGGGTGGAGAGGACGGCGATTTCTTTTCGGTAATTTCATCTGTGGGCTACAATGTGAACACTTTCTCTTTTTGGCTCTCATTTCACAAACCCAGCCTCCCCCAGAGTCAGTCCCCTGACATGGCCTGTCATTTGCTACTTTTGCTCTTCAGGATAGCTAGCTGGGTTGACGGGAGGTCACCCTGGGTTCCATACCTCCTTCCCGCAAGAAAAGCTAAGTAGGAGGTGACAAGAAATTCCTTCTTAGATGCAACCATCAGAGACGATGGTGGCAAATATTTCCCAGGTTTTTGCTTTCCTCGTTGAATCTTTCTGCTTCTTCGCAAGACCCCCCCCCCCCAAAAGCAAGGAGCAGGTCCCCTGGACCAAACTCAGGCTGCAGCTCCTCTGGGAGGTGTGCCAAAGGGGGTGGGGGTGTGCACAGACATCTCAGCCCGAGGAGACCGCAGGGGCAATGCTCTGCCCAGCATGTAGGGCTGGTACTTGCTGCCCTGGGTGGGCAGGCACAGGTTGGCGGTTCCTGGGCAAGAAACATTATGTCCTGACAGCCCCAAAAGACAAGAAGGGTAAGACATGTGCTTCCCTTGATTCACCTAGATCCCAATGTCTCCAAACCATCACTGATGATCTGGTGAAGTCAGAGTCTCTGCAAATGTTTCCCCAGAGAGTTCTGACTCAGCAAAGAGCACACAGCACTCCCTCCTGAATACGGTCAGAAGGGCCACCAAAGCTCAACTTGAATGCCCAGAAAGAATGAAATGGCCACCTCCTGCACGGAAGGCCAGAGGGCAATTGGCAACAGATACCTCTCTGTCATGCCCTCTCCTAGACCAGGCTCTGAGCTCCTTCAAGTACGATGAAAGCAGACAGAGATAGACCTTGATTTCACGGCACTAATATGCCCTGAAGAAGTGGACCGTTTGTTCCGTGATCAGATAAAACATCTTTACAAGGAGACATGACCCAGCCACTGAGATCGCATTGCAAATTCTGTTTCATATTTCTGACATTATGAAGTCTGGAGATTATTTTTTTTAGGCTATGTGAGCCTTTCATTGGTGGATGTAGTCTAAAAACAAAAAAGGCTGAAGTCCAGCTACTTAGGTAATTGCATTCCTTAAGATTACATTTCACTTCTGATCCTTGGGCCCCTGGAAAGCTCAGAAAAAGTCACTGTATCCCAGACAATATCTACCTGGTAAGGGCTAAATCTGGACCATACAGGGAGTGTTAAGATAAAGAAAGGCATTTTTTTTTTTTTCAGAAATAGCAATGGGGAGAGGGAGTAATATTGTCTGTAAAGTCTTCTCTTGGTTACGAGGGTGCCTGCAGCTGCAGTGAGATTTGTTTGTTTGCATGTACGTATATAGAGGAACATTGTAGATCAAACGGAAGCTCTGAATTTCCTAAAAGAGAGAGAAAATGGTCGATTCTTTGCCTTGCTTCTCCTAGACCTAGAATTATGTCAAAACTTTTCTGAAATACATTGCCCGAGTTTCATGCCCACGTGCCCGTAAAGGTCTTCTTGGCATGCTTTAGGATTATGGGAAGAGACTGGTCGGCTGCTCCGTTCAGCACACATTCCATGAGAAAAATCTATCAAGTGCAACGTGGTAGGAATGAAAAGGTGTGTAGTGTCTTTCCTGGTGCCTCAATTTGAAGAGACACAGAGCACTGGAGTCTGATAAATGCAGATTAAACACCTACATAGCCATTATGTACCATTAGCTTCAAATAACTATTTTACAGATTTTTTTTTTTTTTACGTCTTCTGTGCTAGTTGTTCGGAGTTCATTTAGTTGATGGGCTTGGTTCCTAACTGAAATATTGGGCAAGTGAATCCACCCAGAGGAGCCTTAGAAAGAAAGTCTAGAGATCTGAATCTGAAAAATGAGCCACTAAAATCCTTCGGGCGCACAGTTCCGCTCGGGCACGTGGAGTCTCTGTGAGGTAGAGATCACTCTAAGGTGTCAGGTGGTTGCGGATAACGGTTGTTGAAGAAGCTGGTATCCCAAATTGGTGTAGTCATTTCAATGTCATGATTGGCATTGCTGTCATTTTTTTTTGTCTCCTAAACGTAATTATAAAGATGCAGTGCATGATCTATGAAATATAACTTTTGGAATTTGTTTTATTAATTAATTGTCAGGCGGAGGAAATTGGAAGTGGTTTTAGGACTTTGCAAATCTGCATTGTGTAAATATAGTCTGTCAGGCTTGAGATGAGAGTCCCATATTTCTCTCATGCAGTGGCTGGTGGATTCAAACCACCCACCTTGGAGTTGGAAACCATATGCTTAGCTACTATACCACTAAGGCTTCTTACTTACTGGTACTTTGTTTTCATTCTAAAAGACTCAAAGCAGCCCATAGTCATTTTCTACATGCATTAAAAATGCACAGAATGCAAAATAAAACTTCCGTGAGGTACTTGAAGAAGCCAATAAAAATAGGAACAAAAAAGTGTAAGACAAAGCTAAAATGGTGCATGCAGTAAATGTGTGGCATTGAGATGATGCATTTCAAATTGTGCCCATGAGGAACATGTGGAAAAATAAGGAATTGACGTAATGGCAAAGCGGCACGCCTGCAGTCATTTTTCCCTGTGGGAGTGGTGAATTGCGACAGCGTGCATCGTTGAATCCACAGATTAGCACCAGGGCTAATTTTACCAGCTAGCAAGGGTCTGACATACAGTTGTTGTGAAATAAATGTCTGGTGAACAGATGAGAGAAAAACGGAATAGTATTTACTCAACATTTGTGAAATTTCTATTACATGTCATGGTATACATTGATACAATCATAGGTAAAAATACAGCTCTTAAAATTTTCAGAAGAATAGACGGTATGAAGAACAATGCAGGTGGCCGGTTATGTGAGGGTGCCTTAACGTAGTGTAAGGGTTCAAACGTGGGGGAGAGGAAACCCTCCTTCCGTCAGAAGGTCATAGAGGATACAGCACTTGGATTGACTCTTAGAAAAGGAGCCGAGTTTTGCTGGGGAGGAATGTGGGGAAAGGTAGCAGAGTGAAGGGATCTATCTGCACGAGCAGGGCGTGGGCTGTGGCTACGCTTCTCTGAAGGAAAGTCACAACTCCAGTTTGGTTGCAAGTATGATTTAGAAATGAAAGAGTCAGAAAGTGTGTTGGATAGGTAGGTTAAGCCAACTCATAAACAGTTTTGAATGTCACACTTTGCTGGTTGGCTTTCCTTGAAGATGATAAAAGAATAAATCAGAGAAGGCGAGGCTTTAGGAAAGCTGGGCCAATGCCTTCGTCTGCCTTTTCAGGGAGCTACCAAGTCACACAGACGCTCCATCTAAATATTTTAAAGGAGAAGTATACTTGCTTAAAATAGTGTATAACTCTTCCTTTGACTCTTAGATTCAACGTCTTCATTAACATAAGAATAGTTTAACGCCTAGACAGACTACCCAAAGTTATTCAAAGTCACTTTTGAAATTGTCAATAATTCAAACATAACCAAAGCTAACAAAGTTTTAGAGTGATCTGATTTAAATCACAAATCATCAGCCAAAAAGCTTTACTTTGCTTAAGTGCAAGGTCATTTTAAACTCATAAATAGGACATAAGTGAAAGAATTATGTTAAGAATTACATTCTACTTCTTAATAACAAGCTAAGAGCTCATACAATACTGAAATACTGGTCATGGTAAAATGTCGCTGTCGTCAAGTCAATTCCAATTCACGGCAGAATCTATGTATCCAAGACTGTAAATCTTTAAGGGAGGAGACCGCCTCATTTCTCTCACAAGGAGCTGCTGGTGGCTTTGAACCACCTACCCTTCAGTTGGTAATCTAACATGCAAACACACCATGTCACCAGGACGCCTCACAATCGTGATGGGCCTGTTTAAAAAATCTAAATTGCTATAGAGTTGGAACCAAGTCTTAGTTGACCCTCAAGTGGGTTTTCAGAGACTGAAACTCACAGGAGAAGATTGCCCATGAAGCAGCTGGTGGATTCAAACCGTCTGTCTTTGGGTTGGAAGAGCAACTCTCTGTCCACTCTACAACCAGACAAGGGACAAAATTGTGGAAGTTAATATATCGAAGGGGCTACCATTTCTCTGAATTGTGAATGGAAATTGCATTGTGTTTAAGAACTGATTAAAGACTAGAGGACAAAAAATTAAAAATAGAGAATACATGAGAGTTCTGGTGGCCTAGTGGCAAGAAGCTGCACTGCAATCCCAGAGGTACACGGTTCAAATCCACCAGATGCTCTGCCAGAGAAGGAGGGACAATCTCCTCCTGTACCAGTCAGATCTGATTTGACGGTACACACACACAAAAATAATAATAAAATTTTTAAAAACTATTGAAAAAATAATATAGGGCATCTTTTCCAACAGATTTTATCAGATGCTCAAGATTTCCATCCAGACCAGCCAGACTAACTGTGCCTCTCAGATGAGAATGTCTTGCTGAATGGAGAAATGTGTTTAAAACCAGGCTCAGGGTCTGCTATATCTGTCTGGGCAACAGTGAATGGCCCACTCTTGGATTTAACCCTCAGGTCAGTGAGCAGTTTAGGGAGAGTCTTCACCCCCTAGACTTTCCTGAGGGGTGGTATGAAAGGAGACCCCAGGGAATCAGGACTCCGGATTGGACCACTAGGGCTCGGTCATAGCACTCCATGTCCATGCAGTTTTAGAACAGTTCTTGTCCAAGAGGGGGTTTCAATACGAAATGTTCACTGAGCTGCTCTTTCTCCAGATGGTGAACATCCATCTGTCTTGAGGTCCTTTGGAATTCCCTAGCAGAGTGGCATCAGCCGTTATGGCAACCAGGCGTGGACTGAGGACCAGAAGGTGAGACCTCTGTGGTCGTACAACCTGTGACCACAGAGGCAGCCTCCAAGGCCCAGGGGCTGGTTCCCACGGAATTTCCTTTCTGTTTCTCTTTGGGCTTGGTGGGTACCAAAAGAGCTCCTTCTGTTGTCATAGCCTTTGTGTTCTGTCCTTCTTTTCTTTTCTCTCCAGTTTCGTAGGAGAGATTGCTTTAATGTGTTTTTCCTCTTCAGGAGCAACTTCCCTTCTAGAATATCTTCCTCTTCCTGCTCTGCCTGCATAACACATTCATCTCTGCCTTTTGCCAAAATTACTTCCCTAAGAAAATAATTCTCTTTCCCTAGGAAAAGCCCAAATGGGATTAAGGACTTCTGAAGCCCATCAAAAGTCAATATATACTCTGAAATGCCAACTCAAATAGAAGCAGAAATCATTAAACTTCACTCTACATGCATG